CTTTTAATCAAGTACAAGATCTGAGTACTTCTACTTTTACTCAAGTACAAGATCTAAGTACTTCTACTTTTACTCAAGTACAATATCTGAGTACTTCTACTTTTAATCAAGTACAATATCTGAGTACTTCTACTTTTAATCAAGTACAAGATCTGAGTACTTCTACTTTTACTCAAGTACAAGATCTAAGTACTTCTACTTTTACTCAAGTACAATATCTGAGTACTTCTACTTTTAATCAAGTACAAGATCTGAGTACTTCTACTTTTACTCAAGTACAAGACCTGAATACTTCTACTTTTACTCAACTGCATGATCTTAGTACTTCTTTCACCTCTGCGTTTCGTAATATTCTAGAGTAAACACTTTCTATTTTGGCTGATATATTAACAGGTATTCTGTGATCGATAAAATAAACAGAAATGGACTTTTGTTGTCGGGATAACAGGACGTTGGACTGGGGGCTGAATAAACAGCTGACTGCTAATTCCACTACTATATATAATATCAGATAAATTAACATTGCCAAATGTATCATACACAATCATTGTTGTGTTTTTTCACAGGTGACAGCTGACTTCGCTTCCCCTACATGATGTTCTACACTCAACTCTTCACCTCCAAGCGAGGACCCCTTGCCAAAATCTGGCTTGCAGCACACTGGGAAAGGAAACTCACAAAGGCCCAAGTATTTGAGTGTAATATAGAAACAACTATCGAAGACATCATCTCCCCAAAGGTAAAAGAGAAAGTCAACAATACATCCCACATACTGTGACTACTGTAATAAACTGAATCTGTTTGTCTTTGTAGATGAAGATCGGTCTGCGGACCTCTGGTCACCTGCTCCTTGGCGTGGTCAGGATTTACTCCAAGAAAGCTAAATATCTCCTCGCAGACTCCACTGATGCCCTGGTTAAAATAAAATTTGCATTCAGGCCAGGTAACACATCCTGTTTGTCTTGTCTGTCAACAGTTGTTACATTTTAAAGACACAGTTAGGCTCCACAGGGTTTGGAAAGGTTGTGGCTTTCTGAAATATAAACAGGGGAAACACTTTTGATAATCCTTTTTATTAGTTTGAACATAAGAAATAGACCAGAGGCTCACAAGAGGATTCTAACCTTGATAAAAATAACAAATAGAAACACGCAAACATGAAATTATAACTCATTAAAGTATGTCTTCTTGCAAAAATGGCAGAAAATTCGCTTTTTTGATCCTCTTGTTTAGAGATTTTAGCTTATTCTGTTTTGTTAAAATGATAAATTATCATACAGTTAAATCAACACCCAAACAGTTTAACTAAAATGTGCATTATAACTTGCAACTGAGTGTTAAAGGCCACATGTCATGCTTTTCCGGTTATTACCCGTCCCCTTGTGTGTTATGAAGGTTTTTCTGCATGTAAACGGTCTGCAGAGTCAAAACCCTTAAAGTACACCCTGTAGCGAGTAAAACTCTAACACAGAAAATACCTCCCCAAAACGCCTCCTTGGTGAAACGTCATTATGACGTCATCGTCATTTGATTCTTCCGGGTAACCGGAACTAAATGGGCCAATCAGTGGAGCCGTTACGTTACGTCCGCGGAGCCGTTACGTTAAGCCCCCGCTGATTGGTCCAAATTGACCAATCGACACACACACTCAGTGCAGGCAGCCCTGCTGATTTCTGCAGTGAGCCGTTTAGTGGAGAAAGTGAATACTGCTGAATACACATACTTTACAGAGATGCTGTATGCGAAACCAATGTGAGTTTGGAAAATTGCGCAGTATTTTTCTATTTTAGTATACCTCAACACTGGAATAATGATCAGTGGAAATGGCCATGTTAATAATTATCCTGGTAATCCTGGTAATCAGGTTAATAATTAGCATTCGTATTGAGGACGACCACCAGAGGGTAACGTAGATATTATTATTTAATTATTTTGGGAAGTAAGCTCAATGGAAGTCTCTCACTTCACAGACTTACACATACAAAAGTATAACACGCACTCAAAACGGAGTTTGAGAGGTGAAATCTGCTTGTTATTCTGCTCTCTTGTATTTCTAAATGCAGTTAGGGTTGCAAAGGGGCGGAAACTTTCCGGTAAATTTCCATGGGAAGTTAAGCTGGGGAATTTTAGAAATATTCGATGCAAAATTAACCAAAAAACATGACATTTCAACAGATTGTTATTTTTTTTAAGTAGAACAGAACAAGTTTAAATTATTTTATTGA